GTTTCCTAGTCATAAAATTATTCCTTTACTTCTTTGTTTTAGTGGTTTTGTTGTTTTTTTTTTTTTTTTTTTTTTGAGACAGAGTTTCTTTGTGTTGTCTTGGATGTCCTGGAACTCACTCTGACCTTGAACTCAGAGATCCACTTGTTTCTGCCTCTAATGTGCTAGGATAAAGGCATGTGCCATTGTTGGCCCTTCGTATAATTTTCTGCTACTTCATTCACTATAAAATTACTTCAAACAATATTTCTTTCTTTCCAGGAAACAATTAAAGGTTTCCTTAACACCATGTAAAACTGCCGTTGTTTACTCCCTAACTGGATACAAAGCAAATTATATATTCAGGCAATGTCCACTTTCCCTTGGTTCTTTTTATACAGTCATATTCTTAAAGGGACTTGGAATGTTACATATTGTCTCCCTGTGTTCGTTATAATTATTATCAAAGTTAAACATATTACATTATTCCTGCTTACTCAAATAAAAATACTTAAAGCATCTTAAAACAATTTTAATCTCTTGCCTCCTATTAATATTTTTACTATTCTAGTAAAAGCTATAAGTTATTAGGTACATGCCTCATGTATTGTGCTAGGAAACAGTTTTTTATAGTTATACCCCATCCTCCCAGCATTCTTTATCCAAATTGGTCACAAATTTCAGTGGTATGTTCAAGGTCATTCCCTACACATCCAACTGCACAGACTGCCAGCTTATGAACACTCTTCTCAAGAAATAAAAGAGTTACATATGGGCCCTCTTGAATGCTTCCCCTTTTCTGCCCACACAACCACAACTTGTAGTTATTACCTACTGTTAGGCTTTAAACAAGTCCTTAAATTTGCTTCCAATCTCTTCCTCTTAAAATCCCACCAAGACTAAAGTGAAAAAATTAAATTATTTTTTCACAATGTTCCATGTTCATGACAAAAAATAATCACATTTACTAATTCAGAATCTATTTCCAAATTAATCTTCCATTAAACTCTTTTACATTGTTTCTCAAAAAAAAAATCTTACTGAAGTTTTCTAAAGTTACTTTAGAATTTCCTGATAGGAATCATTCATCCTCTCACTGTTAAATTATACCTTATTTTAATTTCATTTTATCCTACAAGAATAGATGGGTGTTACTCATCAATGTTTATCTTTTCCTTTTATGCTAAAAATGTCTGCTGTATCAGATAATGGTAACTTTTTTTCCTTCTCAGTACTTTAACACCAAATAAGGTAAGGAATGTTCTGTACAAAATAGTGTTCTGACTTTCTGAGGAAGAGAAGTGAGTCTTCTGTTTTTTGGACCTTGTGTCTTCATTTATGCCTGGCCCTTTCCCATCAGGTCGTTAGATAAATTTCTTGCCGTGTTTTACTCTGTGGTCACTCCTCTCTTGAACCCCATTATATACACATTGAGGAACACAGAGATGAAAACCGCTATGAGACGTCTGAGACAATGGAATTTAAATTTTTGGGAAAGCCTTAGATCTTCTGTAGTTATGAAATATGGATAATGAAAAAAAATTATTAAATTATTCATCAAACCTTATGACAATTGTAATATTCATTTTTACCTTATTTAGTAATTGATAAAGAAGGTTTTCAAACTGCCCAATTTATTCTATATGATCATAACTTATATTTTTATATTGTTTCCAAATTAATAACACTAATTTGAAAGACTACTTCATTAATTTTCTGAAAAATTAAAGGTCTTGTTATATTAATATTTCTACATAACTGAGAAGATCTGGATATTTAGTGTTTGACATAATAAAAAATATTTATTTATTTATTTATTTGGGTCCTTTTCCATAAAACCATACTAAAAAATTATTGCAATCCATCTTACAAAGACAATGTGTAAAGACATAAGTGTTTATATGCCAACGTCAGAGGTTTATAAAGGATATATCTGCCTGCTAACCAACTATGATTTGACAGTATAAATGTGTGACATATTCATCACTCAGTGAATATTAGATAATATTATAATAGCAATGCTAATTGTCTATGTTAATGTTGTCAAGTGTTTTCACTCTTTGATATTTCACAACTTGTTTTTGGATCATGACTTACTTCAATCTTTGTAGATGTTCCTTTGGAACATTATAGATGCAATTGGAATGTGTTCATTTAGGTGCAAATGTGTATATTTGTGTGCTTACTAATGTTCACATACTCTGCCATCATAGTGAGGAATACTAAATTTCAAAACAGAAATAAAGGAGACTATAATTTTTTTAAAATAGCAGTTATTCCACCAACTTTTATCTTTCCCATGGTTTTCATGAAAACAGACTAAAGTTGAACATCACAAACTGTGAGCAACAAGCAACTTAATTGAATAAATTATAATATAAAGCAGTGAATAAAAATGGAAATTTATGTATAAAAGGGTTAAAATTATGCCTGATCAAATAAAAATCTAGGATGAAATATCCAAACAGATATTAAAATATAAGAAAATTCTAATCAATGGTAAAATAAAGGAGCTATTAATAAAGGAAAAACTCAAGAACTTGGTCATTAAAAGAACACATAATCCAATAAAAAAAATGAGGTACAGACCTAAACAGAGAACTCTCAAGAGGGGAATCTAAAATGGCTGAAAGACAAGGAAATGTTCAAAATCCTTAGTCATCAGAGAAATGCAAATCAAGACAATTCTGGGATTCCATCTTATACTTGTAGGAATAGCCAGTTTCAAAAACACTGATGACAACTTATGCTGGATAGGTTGTGGGGAAAAGGGAACACTTCTGCATTGCTGGTAGGAATGCAAGCTGGTACAGTCCCTTTGGATGTCACTGTGGCGATTTCTCGGAAAATTAGGAAACAACCTTCCTCAAGACTCAGTAATACTACTTTTGGGAATATATCCAAAGGATGTTCAATCGTGCCACAAGGATATGTGTTCAACTATGTTAATAGCAGCATTGTTTGTCATAGCCAGAACCTGGAAACAACCTTAATGTTCCTCGACTGAAGAATGGATAAGGAAAATGTGGTACATTTACACAATGGAGTACTACACAGCAGAAAAAAATAATGACATCTTGAATTTTTGGGAAAATGGATGGAATTAGAAAACATTATTTTGAGTAAGGTAACCCAGACACAGAAAGAAAATTATCTCATGCATAGGTGGTTTTTAAGCATAAAGCAAATAAAATCAACCTACAAATCACAATTTCAGAGAGATTAGACAACAATGAGGACACTAAGAGAGACTTACATAAATGTAATCTATATGGGAAGTAGAAAAAGACAAGATCTCATAAGTAAATTTTGAGCATAGGGACTTGCGGGAGGGGCTGAATGGAGAAGAGGAGCAGAGAAAAATCAATTTTAAGAAAAGGGTGGAAGCATATTATATATAACATTTTCTCTCATGGGAGAAAGTCTTAATGGACTCTAATGCTGAAAATCCAGGCACAAAGAAGCTTCTAAAAGAAAAATCTTGGCATCAAGTTTCAGGAAATAACCCAGAGATTACTGAACCAAGGACATGAAGTTAGTCTTCTATCTTAACATTCTCATTGTCTACTGAGCCTTGTTGAAGGGGCCAATATTAGCACAAGAAACTTAGAGATCAAATTCTCAACACAATGCATATTTATTTGCCCCAGACATACAAAGGGCAGGGAATAAGAGGGAGCAGGAGGGAGAGATTTGTCCTTAGGGACAAAGGAGGACCTCTGAAAGGAAAGGGAACAGGCAAGCTATAGGAAAATGGTAGTTTGTAAAGTGAAAAGGGGAAACCTCCTGTTAGGATGAAATATTTAATTTTAATTGTACATGTTAATTAGGGCAACCAAAGGGGGCTTTTCATTGTTGGCGTTAAATACTTTGGTAGCTGGACCTTGTTTATCAACATCAGTAAGAGGGAGTGAACAAATAAAAGAATAAACCACAGAGGCTAACTTCAGAAATGTAGTCTAATGGTTTTTATTTTATTTTGTTTTTTTCGAGACAGGGTTTCTCTGTAGCTTTGGTGCCTGTCCCGGAACTAGCTCTTGTAGACCAGGCTGGCCTCGAACTCCCAGAGATCCTCCTGCCTCTGCCTCCCGAGTGCTGGGATTAAAGGCGTGCGCCACCACCACCCGGCTCTAATGGTTTTTAGAAAGGCAGAAGGAATTGGAAAGGACAACACCAGCCAGAGCCATGTTTGCCATACTGGGGCCACCTAGAACCCCTTCATTTATAAGCAGTTTTGGGATGATTAAGAGACATCTGCAGGTGTGCTGACCAATAGACTCGTAGGAGTACTTAACAAAAAAAGCTTTCTAAATGTCCCAAGTATGTTGATCATTGAAATAAGTACAACAGTTTTAATAGGTAATCAGGAATTTATGGACACAGTACTCATGGAGAATATATTTAGGACATTATACAATAATAAATAATAGTTGAAGGAAGAAATTTTAGTCTGATTGGGATAATTTAGAAATCTCATCATAATTTATTGCTGTGCTTTATTATTAGGCTTTTTTCGTGTGATTTAAAATTAGGAAAGTATAGTTCACTGCAATTTTGTGAAGCAGTAACTTTGGTTTCTACTTTGCTTAAGTCTTCCCACCACATTAATGAACTGATATAGAGCAAAGCTGATGGCTATTGCTAATTGGCAAAGAAATTGAACAGTTTGCGGCATGTGATGGTGTACAGAATTGTACTGATATAAAATATACAAAGATGGTATACACAAAGATAAACATATGAGTTTGTTCAACTAATGTCAAGGTAAACTTTATTAGAGACACAGAAGAATAGTTGAATGACATTGCTGTATACAAAGAGCAATTTTTACATTTTTTTTTACATTTAAAATGAAGAATATACAATAGTTTCATTGTTGGTCTGTGGAATGTCATATTCTCTTTAACATATTAAATTATATGTGTATAGAGAAATTATTACAAAATTTTATTTCCTGATTGCAAATCTATTTCATTCAGTTAGTCTCATTATTTGAAAAAATCAGTTTGCATATCTAGATATTAGGAATTTTCCTTAGGGCTAAGATAGTTGCTTATGAATCTTATCATGGCATTTTTCATCTCTTTGTTTCTCAGCGTATAAATAGCTGGGTTTAGAAGAGGTGTGAAAACAGAGTAAAATATGGCAAGAAATTTGTCCAACCAGATAATATTGAGTGGCCACACATAAATGAAGATGCAGGGGACAAAAAATATCATCACTACTGTGATGTGGGCACTGCATGTGGACAGAGCCTTAGATGCACCAGATTTAGAACTCTGGTGAACAGTGATGAGGATATACGTGTAGGAAATGAGCAACAGAGTGAAGCAGGTTACAGCCACAATCCCACAGTCAGCATTCATCAGAATATCCAGATCATGGGAATCCATGCATGCTAGTTTGATCACCAATGGCATGTCACAAAAGAAGCTATCTATTTCCTTCGGACCACAAAAGGGCAGCTCTACAATCACTACCAGGTGACTCATGGCATGAATAAAGCCAGTAGTCCAAGAAACTAACACCAACCCAGAGCATCTTCTCAGGTTCATAATCGTGAAATAGTGGAGTGGTTTGCAGATGGCCACATACCGGTCATAAGCCATTACTACCAAGAGCACCATCTCTCCTGCAGCAATGCAATGAGCAAAGAAGACTTGAGACATGCAGCCTGCAAAGGAAATGGTCTTGTTTTCCTTGAGAAAGTCTGATACCATCTTAGGAGTGGTGACTGAGGAAAGCCACATATCCACAAATGACAGGTTGGCCAACAAGAAGTACATGGGAGAATGGAGATGACGGTCAGTGGTAATTAAGACAATGATGGTAATATTTCCAGACATAATAAAGAAATAAAGTATTAAGAACATCACAAAGAGTAAAACCTGGACACTCTGTGACTGGGAAAGCCCAAAAAGTATAAATTCTGACACCCAAGTCTGATTGCCTCCATCCATTATGCTAACTGTGTACCCAGAAGTAACCTACAAAAAAAAAAAAAAAGATTATCAACAAGTCATATGATGAATTCTATTTCCTGTGTAGACTTTGACATTCATTTAAAACTTAACTGAATTGAGATGCATAAATGTAAAGACAAATCTAAGCCAAATATGAATGGCATTGATACCCAAAGTGATCTTATGAACCATGAACACCCCATGAAGAGAAGCATCATATGTGACTGTTACACACCTGCTCTATTCAGAAATTCCTCTGAAAAAGAACAGGGAGAAAGAAGGACAGCAATGTGAAAACCTAAAAATGTGCCTCATTTTTTTTAAAATATCTAATTTTTTCACTAGCAGTTCTGGCATTTCAAACTGAAAAAAAAAGTGAAGATTGTATTTGGAAGCTGATGGGGAGTTTCATTGAATATCAGTGTAACTGGTCTCCTAGGATGCCACCATTTTTGGAATCATGTACAACTATTCCATTTGACAATAGTAGAATTGTTTCTGTGCCATAGAGGAGTGAAATTTTAGATTAACACTATAACTGATAGGAAAACCTCAGTGAGGAAGCATACAGAGTAGAATGCAATATAAGACATACACAGATACCAAACTGAAATATACAAACCAGGTTCATAGATATCATTCACAAAAGTATATTCCAGAATTCATTTATTCAATAAAACTGATTAACAAAATACCACTGCAAGCACCTATAGGGATGTATTGAAAAAACGATGTGTAAACACTATCTGTGTCTCTCACTGAAATTCTCATATTTTAGTCAAACTGATTTAAGAGCTTAAAATTTAATCTTGAGCTAATTAATCTGAAAGTTGAAAACTTGAAAATTAATTTTAGCCTTTTGTATATTAAAATGTGTCTTTACTATGTCATATGCTAATATGTAGTTAAGATAAATGTTTATTAGTTTCTCAAATCATAAGGGTATTTTGTTATTTTTCTTATACAGTGACACTTAAAATTACATCAGTTTACAGTTTCAAATAATCACCTTAGTAAACACTATTGTTTTGGGGGAAAAAAAGAAAAAACGACATGGCAAAACATATTCCGACCTTGAAGTCTTAAAATCACAATTAGTTCAGTCTTACCGGTAAAAAAATATTGATCTTAAATTGCATAAACTAGTGGTGAGAACCCTTAGATTCTGAAAAATTCTAGTTCCCTCACATAAATCTATCATCAGCATATTTTCTCATATCACTTATCTAATGAAAATCTTTGTTTTAAAGAACAGAATATATTATGTAAACATATAAGCAAAATTGTCCTTCAGCTGTCAACATTAGATGACTGTGACCTTACTCTTTCAGTGAGCACAACTTATTTACCTCAAAGCACAAGTGGAATGCTTATACTGACCTAATGGACAATATCCAGCCAGATGGTGGACAATCATTGCCCATTATTTTGCTCCCTTAAGTAAGTCTCTTGACGCTTTTCAACTCATTGGTCTTATTTTATTTTATCCTGAAGCAGGTGAACAATGAAATAATTAATGGCACTATCAGAATTATTTTACATGCTTGTTTTCTGAGGACTAACAAAGGTGGAGTGAGGAGCATTATGGGAGATATGTAAACACTCATGCTTACAGATATTTATCAAATATCTAAGGAAAATACGCTGGTTACACAGCAAAGAATTTTTCATCATTTATTTTATTTATTATTTCACATGTCTAAATGTTTTATGCCAGCCTGAACTTTTTGTTTTGATTTTGTGTTAATTTCTTTTAATTTTTAAGATCCTAATGTAATTACAACATTTCTACCTTTATTTCCTCAGTCTAAATTGCCCCCATATACTGCTCCTTGTTGTCTTTCAAATTCATGATGAGAGCAAGGCCATCTAAATCAGTTAAACAAATCTCATATGAACTTAGAAAGACTGAAACAAGAAGCATGGTATCTAAAGGTCTGCTGTATATGTACTATTACTTTTGGTTTAGTACTTTGAAGAGACTCCTGATGTGTAAATGAATGCGTCTCTGATTCCTGTGCCTTCTCTTGGGGTTCTTTAATTTTTTAGTTGGTTTGTCTTCTCCAACATTGATATGATAGTTTTTGTTTTCTCTTATTATATTTTATTTTATTATGTTTTGTCATTATCTCTTAGAAACCTGTTCTTTCCTAGTGGGAGACCTAAAGGGATCCCAATAAGAGAAGAGGTACAGAGAAATTGTGAGAAGTAGAAGAGAAAACTGCATTCAGAATATATTATATGAGAAGAGAATCTACGTTTAATAAAAGGGTGTAGAAAAGAAACTCATTCCTCTGTTTTCTCAATGTTTATACATTCAAACTATTCTGTCTACAGTATGGTACTTGTAAATACATTTCCAGGGCTGACCATTTGGTGTGGATAACCAAGTGGTGTGCTCTTCCCTGGGCTGTGTTTCTCTCTCCCAGAATTCCTTAGTTGACCGTGGTTCTTTGCATAAGATTGAGGAATTCTAAGCTTTCCACACTGACTGTTAGTATATCTATTGGTGTTGGATGTTTTGAGTTTAATTTTGACAGTCATAACAGCACTGTGCCACTCATAAAAGGAATTACTAATAAAGAGCATGCATTTGTGTCAGACTTTCTTTGGGAAAGTAAAACCAAGTCTAAAGTAATACCTTGTAAATTGTATCCTCTAGGATTTTAGATTTAGAACAGTACTGTATCAGGCCACTTTGAATGTAAATTATCTTACAACTACTTTCTATACAAAGGAGCAACCACACTTTAACAGAAATGTTTGAATGATGTTATTAGGACTGTTTTGTTTCCACGTGATTATTTAGAAGTTAGGAAAAATGTTGTAATAGATTACAGTAGCATAAATATAATCAATTTAATATTGTGCTGTAAATATATAGTATAAAATATACACACAGGGATTATTGAATCTTTCTACTATCAGAATATAATGGTACATGAGTTGTTTAATAAATCATATTTTCTAGTATACCATGAAACAAGATAGTTTGTAAAATCCAATGCCTTCAGCATTCATCTGAATGTTTAAGATATGTATGTCAAATATATATATTTTACTTGTGTATTTTATCTGAGTTTATTTTTATTTGTGCATATATACTTTATATGTACACACACATTTATGGATACATAAAATCACACATATTTATGTGTTGTTATTGATATAGACACATAAAATCAACTATATTTTAAATACTTGAAAGTTACAATTAAGTTGAGATATATCTATTCAACATCTATGAAACACATACATGGAAAGGACACGTTCAACGTGGAAACTGTTTTTCAGTAACATAACATGCAATTCACCCTTCTCTTAGGATCTATCAGGATTTCAAATACCTAATGAAATACACAAATCTATTAAAACATCTCTGTAATTATTGCATCTAACTTAGTAACAGTTCTCCTAGAAAATCTGTTGCTGGATTACATGTAATAAGTATAAAAGATTAATGAACAGAAACTAATTGAATAACCTTATTATGGTCTAGAAGCAAACTGATGTATTGTTCAATCTTTTTCTGATTTTATTACCCTTCTGTCAAAGTGTTAAGCTTTGTAATAGTCTCAGTATTCACATTTCTGTAAATATTTATAGTTGTAGTCATAACTACACAATGTTAGAGACACCATGTGACAGACACTGATGACTGGAGGGTGGTGGTTCCTAATAGCTTGCTTTGCTAGCAGATTGATTATTTCTATCTTGTGTTGTTTGGTTTTTTGTTGTTGTTGTTTGCTTGTATGTGGACTTTACTATTAAAATGTTTTTAATTGAAGTAGAATTTCATCATTTTACCAACCCCTTTTTCTTCCTCAAACTACTAATAAATACTATCCCCACATACTGTCCACATGCTGCCCCTTAAGTGGCTAGCCTCTTTTTCCTTAATTCTTATTGCTATCTATCTTGGTGTATGTATTCATGTATGTACATATGTATGTATATGTGTATATACAAATAAACATAAATTGAATTTGTTGAACCAATTTTGTTGTTGCATATGGTTTCAGGATTGACCCCTCTACATTTAAGAATAAATGAGGAAGCTCATCCTTTGGAGAAACTGATTTTTTCTTATAGTAGATGATAGTTGGCAGAATATTTTTAACTTAATTTCAAAATAACCACTTAACTTGTTTTATTTTTCCTCCCAATTCTATTCTGAATGTTATCTATGTTGCACAGTTTGGACTAAAAATATTTTTTCTGGTTAAGTTAAATGAAATATTTGTATGACTTTAACAGGATACTTCTCTTATGTGTTATCAGAAAAGAATGATAATTTCCTGATGTGTTTATGAGCTCACATGGAATAGCATGTTTAGAGGAAACATTAACTCTAAAGATGTCAGAAGTAAAGGAAAATATGGAAATAAAACAAGGTGAGCATCATTAAAAAGGAGATGAGTAGAAATATTTAAAGAATAACTTACAGAAGAATATCACATTGATGACTTATCAAGTTCACAATTTTCTTTTTGGTCATATTTTCCGCCAGTCTGATGTGTGCCTATGAAGTTAATCTTGTTGTGTAGAGACAAACGTCACCTCAGCTCAATATATATTCACTTCCTGAGTTTGCCTCATGGGTGAATATTACCTATGTGTGTTCTGACCAAAATGAGGACCCTGGAAATAATTATCATTTCCCTTGGAGTTTTCTCTGTTGAGAGTAATATTGAGGATTGCAAATCTGTGGAAATAGAATATTAGACAAGTAAAACATTGTATATGTCATGTCACCATTGATTAAATTAAGTAACTTTCAAAATTATTCACTTTATGCTTAAATACTAAAGATAAACTTTCGGTTGCCATATCGCTTACTGAATGTATATAATCAAAGTGTTTAAGATTTTTGTAGTTATGAGACCATCTGCTTTAAAATGTGAGATATGAACAGAACAAAAGATAAACAAAATTATACTGTGAACATGATTCCCTAGTGCATGGCAAATCTGTGTCAAATCTGTGTTACTCTTGATCAT